TCTGGTTCGGTGAGAACGAGTTGTGCCCCATTCCAGTTCATCAAATGCCCCGTGGAGTCTCTGTGGAGGACACAGGCGTACCTTACATCGTCTCTGTTAGAGGCATTTCGATGCTCATTCAGGCGGACTGCGAGATCCCTGCCTGTCTCGCCTACACATTTCTTGGGACAGAACCCACAGGGGATAGCGTAGACGCCTGCTGTAGAAGTTAGAGGTGTGGGGCTGCGTTTCTTTGATAGATGATGTGTTTATGGTGGAAACGTTGATGTTACTCAAAGTCATAGCAAGTGCCCGGCGAGTATTCGTGGCAACATCACCACAAGGAAGTACTATGAACTGCTTAGGGGGCTGTTCCATGGGCGGTTTGTTGAGGATAGCTTGTGCCTTGAGTCTGCAATCTCGGATGAAGAAAGATGGGAACTAAAGACGTGTAAAGGCTTGTGTTATATAAGTGCATTCTTCTTCTAGAAAACAAGGGCTGGAGATGCGAAGAGCTCTCAAGAAGAAGCCAATGAGGACTCCTCTCTTAGTGCGGGTGTCAGTACCTGACCAACCGGGCTGTGGTTCGTACGTCAGCTTGCTTGCGGCCAGCAGTAACAGCCTGGTTGATCAGACCCTGATCCATCATGAGGCATGGTCTCAGACCGAGCCGCGGGGGCGTTGACCCCCGAAACCCTCTCCAGGTAAACTCCAGGTACTTGTCTCAGCGTCACATTCTCTTGGAAGTCAATGAGTTCCAGTTGAATTTTTACAGCATCTACCCACGTGAAGGCTTGTTTTGCTTCGACTGAGAATTCTGTAGATATCCGCCACTAGGAAGGTGTTTTGAACCAACACCAGCAACTGTTTTCCGAGAACAAAGTCATCAGAGCGTAACTTGAAATTTCTGATCAGCTTCCCAATGAAATAGACATATTTAGTATCTGTTTCTTCATTACGTTGCTCCAAAAGTCTGAGGAAATGTAAAAGTTGCCTCTGAAAAATCGTTAGTGAAAAGTTCCAATTTCTTCTGGCAAGCTCGAATTGTTGAGATCATGTTGAAGATGGTGTGTTTTTATCCTTTCGGTTTAACATTAACATCGTTCAGATGTGACATTATGTCTGCCAAAAATCCAACACTCTCCATTTTCTTGTCATCTTCCAAAAAATCAGAAAATATCTTTGCATTTGCACTGTTTTGACCCCTGATGAAAGTCTGTAACCCTTTCCTGATTGCCCAGAATACTGTATTCCAGTAAATACAGTATTCTAAATATGCTAGAATACTGTATTCCATTCAGATAAAATTATGTATAAATCCAGCTCTTGTGTACAACCTGATCCGAACGTGGTAACAGCTGCTATTTATCTAAGCTTACTCCTGAAGCCAGCGGTCAAACTACAACACTCAGAAGGTTCGGATTCGGACGTCAGGCCGCCAATTGAGTATCCCTGGCCTATAGTTTAGACAAGTTTTAAAGAAATCCCAGGATATTGCTGTGTCTGACAGGATGTGAAGAAAGACTTTAGAAGACTGACTGCTAAGACGTGTAAGATGTTTCAGAGTGAACGGGTGTAAAGTGTGGTTCTACAGATGTAACAAGTGTGGTTCCACAGGTGTAACAAGTGTGGTTTCACAGGTGTGACAAGTGTGGTTCCACAGGTGTGACAAGTGTGCTTCCACAGGTGTGACAAGTGTGGTTCCACAGGTGTGACAAGTGTGGTTCCACAGGTGTAACAAGTGTGCTTCCACAGGTGTAACAAGTGTGGTTCCACAGGTGTGACAAGTGTGGTTCCACAGGTGTACAAGTGGTTCCACAAGGTGTAACAAGTGTGCTTCCACAGGTGTAACAAGTGTGGTTCCACAGGTGTAACAAGTGTGGTTCCACAGGTGTAACAAGTGTGGTTCCACAGGTGTAACAAGTGTGCTTCCACAGGTGTAACAAGTGTGGTTCCACAGGTGTAACAAGTGTGCTTCCACAGGTGTAACAAGTGTGGTTCCACAGGTTGAACAAGTGTGCTTCCACAGGTGTAACAAGTGTGGTTCCACAGGTGTGACAAGTGTAGTTCCACAGGTGTAAGAAGTGTGGTTCCACAGGTGTAACAAGTGTAGTTCCAAAGATGTAACAAGTATAGTTCCACAGGTGTAACAAGTGTAGTTCCACAGGTGTAAGAAGTGTGGTAATGTACAGGAGTTGAACTATGTTAAGGGTTGACAAAGGAGTATAACAAGTGTGATTCCACAGATGTCACCACTAAGAGGTCTTGATATTATGGACAGGGATCGACTTTCTGAGATGTGGGAAACGGGTACACGAGGGCACAGCTGGAAACTTTACACACACAAGTTACAGGGATTTCAGGAAATATTACTTCAGCCAGTTTATCATAATTATTATTATATGTGTGAGGAATCGCTGAACCCGTAGGGGTCTGGAGAATGGGAGGTAATTGGGAACATAGCTCAAATTCCTTGGAGTAAGAGCTGTTCACCAGGATGCTCGTCAGTCTCAGGGTGGTCAAGAACTTTAAAATAGTGTGGAATGAGGAGCATATTCCATACGTGACTTCGTGAACAGGTGTGACAGAGGCCCACCAGGCTAGGAGGCAGTGAATCCGGTAACTGCCAGTTAAGAGGCAGGGCCAGGAGCTAAGACTCGACCCTCTGCAGTTGAAGTTAATCACAAAATAGGTTATTAACACACTATGAAAACAACTCTTTTATTAATAATAATAATAATAATAATAATAATAATAATAATAATAATAATAATAATTAATAATAATAATAATAATAATAATAATAATAATAATAATAATAATAGCCTATAATTATTACAAAATGGTGAAAGTAATAATTCCTTAAACTAGCTATTGGTTATGAAGAGAGGTTATAGAAAGACGCTCCCCCTCTGTGTAGTGGTTTATCAAAACTGTACACAGAACGAAACATTGTTCCAATAAAACCTTGTTCTCTATATTGCCTCTTCACGACCACACACCTCGGCACTGTGCTTCACGACCACACACCTCGGCACTGTGCTTCACGACCACACACCTCGGCACTGTGCTTCACGACCACACACCTCGGCACTGTGCTTCTACAATCTCACCAAGGAGTTCGTCATGTCGTTCTTCGTATACTTTCTCATATTAACCACAAATAATAATATTAAACACAACGGACTGAGGCTAACACTAGCCTTACGGGTATATTAATTATAATATATATATATATTTAATTATATATAATTATATATATATTATATATATACATACATAGCCAGACCGGAAACCCCACTGTGCTTGTGGGGCTTGAACTTGCGGCGAGTGAGCCGTAAAACTCCAGGCCAGCGCATAAGCCATAAAGACCGAAAGCATTTTGAGATACTTCATGCATTCTCGCGGAGAGTATTGGTTTAAGTAACCCTAACTCGTCAGACTTGGTCAGTCACGCCTCACAATACACTCACTGTGACCTGAAACATCACAACTTTACGAATTGACCTTCACTTTAACCCGCACGGAAAGCAGGATTTTTTTAGATGACATCTCAGTCCGTTCTGGATTATTGTCCAATGACGACTGAGGGAGGGAGGGAGAGAAGACAAGTCATGAGAAGAGGCGAGGAAAATTTCACGAGGAAGGTCAAGGAACAGCACAAGACATGCCAACAGGAAGCTAAGATCAGGTGATGGTGCGTGTGTTCTGAAGCTAAGAGATCAAAAAGCACGTAACAGGGATTCCTTTTAATGCTATTAAAGGCAATATCTGCTGTCATTATCTTGGTGTTCTGAGAAGCCTTTGACCATGATTTCACCACAACTGTAGCTTAACATGATAGTGTATCATTTCCTTACTTACACTTCATGGCAAAAACATGTAAGACAGGATCTCGGAGTGTATAACGAGCTTATTCTTTGAGAAGACTGGAATTTTATTAAATCACTTTATAAAATCCATCGATCCTGTCTGGATACAGGAAAAGAATTATATCAGAAAACCTTTTCTTTGTGTTGCATCTCTCTCGGCTCACACTGCGGGCAGGAATACAAGAAACACCATACATTAGTAACACTATGATAACTGGAAATTTAAAATGAGATAATATTGACCAAAGCTCTTATTACTGATATCACTACTAGAGCTTACTACACCTGTTACCCCTACTATACTACTACTACTACTACTACTACTACTACTACTGCTACTACCACTCATACTACTACTACTTTAACTACTGTTACTACTTCTACTACTACTACTACTACTACTACTACTACTACTACTACTACTACTACTACTACTACTACTACTACTACTACCAATACTTCAACTACTACCATAAATACTTCTACAAATAATACCAGTATGGGTCACGAATTAAAAAAAAACGAGAAACACTTCAGGAAACATGAACTACTCACGTATAAATAAGGAATGAACTTATGGAACAAAGTGAAGCACCAAGATCTGAGTATTATTGAACCCTGGAACCTCAGGATGACCTCTAGCATAAGTGGTAATGAGATCACACTTTCAGGGTCATCTAGTAAGGTACTGAGTCATCCAGCAAGGTATAGGGCCATCTAGCAAGGTACAGGGTCATCCAGCAGGGTACAGGGTCATCCAGCAAGGTACAAGATCATCCAGAAAGGTATAGGGTCGTCCAGCAAGTTACAGGGTCATCCAGCAGGGTACAGGGTCATCCAGCAAGGTACTGAGTCATCCAGCAAGGTATAAAGTCATCCAGCAGGGTGCAGGGTTATCCAGAAAGGTACAGGGTCGTCCAGCAGGGTACAAGGGCATCCAGCAGGCTACAAGGTCATCCAGCAGGGTATAGGGTCACTCAGAAAGGTACAGGATCATCCAGAAAGGTACAGGGTCATCCAGCAAGGTACAGGGCTATCCAAAAATGTACAGGGTCATCCAGGGTACAAGGTCATCCGGCAGGGTACAGGGTCATCCAGCAGGGTGCAAAGTCATCCAGCAGGGTACAGGCTCATCCAGAAAGGTGTAGGGTCGTCCAGCAGGGTACATATTCATCCAGCAGGATATAGGGTCATCCAGCAGGGTACAAGGTCGACGGGCAGGGTACAGAGTCATTCAGGAAGGTACAGTGTCGTCTAGTAGGGTACATATTCATCCAGTAGGGTACAGATTCATCCAGCAGGGTACAAGGTCATCCAGCAGCGTACAGGGTCATCCAGCAGAGTACAGGGTCATCCAGCAGAGTACAGGGTCATCTATCAGGGTACAGGGTCATCCAGCAGGGTACAGGGTCATCCAGCAGGGTACATGGTCATCCAGCAGGGTACAGGGTCATCCAGCAGGGTACAGGGTCATCCAACAGGGTAAAGAGACTGAATCTCTCAAGTGTAGGCTGTCATCAGTAGACTAATAATACAAGTTGTGGCAAGTGTCACAGTGAGTGCTGTGCAGTTCTTGTGTTAGGGGGAAGCTATAAGTAAATGGGTCTAAGTATCTAGACTATTAAATATGTACAACTATTGAGTATTCGCGTCCCACACTAACTGAGCTCTCTTTTTATTTGCAGTAACAAAAATATCACATGGAAGTTTATGGTTATATCTACCGGTATCGAGATATAGGAAGCCTTGTCAAGTATTCTTATCTTGGTGCGTGTAAAACATGAAGATATACTATAAGCAGGTGGTATGGCGTGTTTATGCTCGCCAACACATCAGGGGTGACCGCCTTGTGCAAGAGCGAATTTTCTCGTGTGTCTCTTTGTGCGTGTCTCGCAGCGATAGCCAGAGAAGCCACCTCGGCACACGCAGACGTGGACGCCGTCTTCGATGCTGCATGATCCACCCCGTCGACAGAATCCTTTAGGACAGTGCAGCTCAGCACACTCAGGACCTGAGGAAGTCCCAAACATGGTCAAACTTAGCAGCCTTTAGTATTGCTATCAAGTTCGTGAACAGCGCTAAAGAGCCTTCAGTAAACACTAGCTGATTAAATAATGCTTTACACGGGTTAGGATTTTTTTATTTAATTTATAATGATATTAGCCTGTGCTTAATGATGATACAAAAAAGTCAGAGATCCAGAGATGCTGTTCGTAGATGGCGCTGTCTTACTGAAACATTCGGAAGATTGTAGATGAATGGTTCACAGAACCGACATGTTGATAAATTAGACACATGTGCAACTCTTGGGTATCTTTATTAAGGAAACGTTTCGTCACACAATGGCTTCATCAGTCCATACACAGGAGGAGAATGAGGTAATTAGTCCCTCAACCTTGAGTCAATATGGTCAGTCCATCAAGATTGATGGACTGACCACATTGACTCAAGGTTGAGGGACTGATTACTTCATTCTCCTCCTGTTCTTCAAGTTTCTCCTGTGTATGGACTGATGAAGCCACTGTGTGGCGAAACGTTTCCTTAATAAAGATACCCAAGAGTTGCACATGTGTCTAATTTATCATTCGGAAGATAAGTTGTAGCGGGTAGTAGAGAAGTTTGGAAGGGTGTGAAGAGAAAAAGGTAAAATTGAATAAAGAAAAGAGCCAGTGACTCTCGAAAGCGTGATGATACAACTATCAATACAGTAACTTATAGTTTGGTAGAATTACAGACTATAAAATTAGAGGCCAGCCTGAAGCCAGACTGAAGGCCAGCCTGAAAGAGCGATTATAGGAGTGAATGTTTTAAGATACTTGAAAGATATTGAATACTCAATCAGTGTATCACACAGGCAGATATAGTGTTGACGTACCTCTGAAACCGAAGTTACAGGCGCAGATGGGGCCGTGGAGGCCGACCAAACAAGTACCACCATTCTGACAGGTGCTAGAGTCACACACGCCTAACGAGGACTCAACACCCGCTTCCCTGACACCTGTGCCTGAACCAGATAACGACGGCGACGAGAGGGCAGGCGAGGCGTATGAAGTAGTCGCTGTTTCAAGAGCAGCTGGATAAGATGCCTGTAACATTTCGGACTTATAATTCATTGTAGTTATAATTCATTGTGGTGGTGTATTTAGTTTGTCAGGAAAAATGGGAAAATTGCCCCTGCCAAGTCTTTGCAACTTCTGGTCTTTTCACCAGACCTTCCTCTAGCTTACTTCTTGGTCCACTTAACAGAACAAATAAACACTCCTCGTGTCTTAAGTATATTAATACTTCTATCACTATTAAAAAGATTTTTTAATAAACATTATTAAGCTATTACAGTATGTTTTGCATCAAAAATTAAGAAAATTCATATATCAGTATGTAATTATTACTAAAATTTGAACGAGAACGCAACAGTAAAACTGAAAATAAGAATTTATCAATGTTAAACAATGTAATAAGGATACAAAATTTATTGGTAATCAAATATCTCATTTACTTGAGTAAGGAGTCACGAATGAGCACACAGGGAGGAAATAAAACATAAGATAAAAAAGTTTATTGTATGTATGAGCCTACCACAGGTCCTGATTTGATACAGCTCTACACAGAGTCAAACATTGCCCCAGTAAAACCTTGTTCATCAACGTATGGTTTTCCTTCACTATTGTCGGCAGTACGAGATTTGGATCTCCTGACAAATGTTTATCACACTCGCGTGTATGTATAAAGTATTTAAAAGTTTACCTGTGAGGGGGATTCAGAGTACTGCCTCCTGTTCTCTTGTACCAGCTGGCCGTCCTTGAACCTACGGGAATCCTGTCGACCATGAACTAGTTGTCCATCCTCGTAGTGCTCCTCCATACTCATCTCCTTTCTCTGGCTGTAGCCTCTTCCCACTTCGCTGCCTGCACCTGAGTAACCAAGAGAACTCCTGCGGGATGAGTCTTGGCTGGAATATCCCGAACCTGCCAAAAGAATGCAGGAGAGGCAACCTGTTCTTCTCGTTCCCCCGGTGGACGCACTGTGGGACTCTGAACCAAACGATTCATGTGAACTTCTTTCTTGTGCAGATGACCCACTACGTACAGAGTCTGATCCAGTAAGTAAGGGGCGTGATGTATCTAGGATAGTGGTAGTGGCTCCAATACGACCTGTAGAGGAGCTCGTAGAAGCTGATGTGGAGCCTCTTATTGTTCCCGACCCACCGTACGTCTTTAAAATCCCACGAGCAGACGAACTCGGGGATGCTTCTGATCCACCTCTGTGCGATGACTCCAGAGATTCACTGTATGATCCGTAGGATTCAACTCTGGGGGATTCAGTGTTCCTTGTGTATGAGGTTTCTGAAGGTGTGTTGAGAGTGTTACCAGCCAGAATGTTGTGGAGAGCGTCGTAGTGCACGGCGCCGCTGAGGTCCTCCTCGTTCAACTCTGTCCTGTTCTCGTACACCAGTGATCCGTTCTGCCACACACAAGGAAACAAGTACCACATCAGACCAAGAGATTTCTACATAGTGTACCACCGAAGCGGCTTGCTGTATTTTTTGCACACCTTATATCCATTCTACACCGCAAATATATTAACATGAATACTTTGACATAGAGCAAATACTTGAAGTCTTTTCAAATTTTCAGGAATCCTGTTTTTATTAATGAGAAAATACAATGTGACCATAGGGCTGATCTCGTGGTTTTAATTTAGTTTATTTAGTTTCATCATCGTCTTTGTGCATACCACAATGCTAAGCGTACTTCTAATTAAGCCTGAATCTGACTATTACAACATCTGTGAGTCTACTCACAGAGCAAACTCACAATATATATATATATATATATATATATATATATATATATATATATATATATATATATATATATATATATATATATATATATATATATATATATGCATATATATATATATATATATATATATATATATATATATATATATATATATATATATATATATATATATATATATATATATATATATATAAGTGGAAGAGGCGTATATCAATATGCTACCTTTCATTTGAGAAAACTTTCTCCTCAGTCTACCTGTTGCATCTCTTGCAACACTGCATAGCTCCTGACGAAACAGAAAAGTGTGAAAGATCTTGAACTGAAAATTTCCATCCCTTCATGGCTTGTTTTGTATTGTTAAGATCGTCGCCATGTCTGCGAGTATGTGTGTGTGTGTGTAATTATGGGGGAAAGAAGACAGGTGGGAAACGAAGAATAGGTGGAGGAAGAAGGGAAAAGCGGTTGGGAGAGAGGGAGGAGTGTGGGGAAGGAGTGTAGGGAAGTTGTGTGGGGAAGGAGTGTGGGGAAGTTGTGTGGGGGAAGGAGTGTGGGGAAGGTGTGTGGAGAAGGAGTGTGGGGAAGTTGTGTGGGGAAGGTGTGTGGGGAAGGAGTGTGGGGAAGAGTTACTCACAAGGAAGCGACGCTCGTGGTGGAGATCGTAGACAGGTTGACCGTCAACAAACTCGTGCTGGCTACGTTGCTCATAGCGGTGACTGGTGTACTGCGGCACCACTGACACTCTTCCTGTCTCCGACACCTGCAGTAAAGGTAGACTGGTAAGTCACGTACGTGCTGGCACTGTTGCTCCTGTTGCTGAAAGCTACAACAGCAGTGAAAGAACAGCCTGCAGCAGTAGAAGAAGGGTTAATGTGTACAGTGGGCAACTTTGAAAGCTTCACTCTGTTCTTTCCCTGCTGCTGCTCCTAAAGTCACCTACGTACTAGCACTGCTGTTACTTCTGATATTTCCACTGTATAAACGCTGGTAATATTATAGGTCGAGGTAAAAGACCTCAAGAACAACTAATGCGACTCTTATTACGATTATGTTTTGTTCTCCAGAAAGTTTAGCAAACCCATGCAAGCAATACAAGGACATAGATGGTTTGTAACGGGAACACAGCAAGGTAAAGGAGGCGGAGGACCTAACAAGAACATAAAAACAGAGAACTGCCGTAAGTCTACTGGCTCATGCCAGTAGTAGTAGTAACAGTAGAAATTATTTCGTGTTATTAAGTGCCAGTGGGGCTCATCATCTTAAGGAGGATTCGTGCTAATATTTCAGTGATGACACAGATGCTTTAGTTAAGTGTACCTGTGTTTGAAACAGAGATCAATGATGCTTCAAGGCATTTTCGTCTGGTTCCTTCACCACTAAGTGGGCATTATATCATCAAGTGGCTGGTAGTTTTCCAGCATTGTACACATGTGTTGTCCAGGTTATCACATTTGCTCAGGTATATGTGTTCTTTAAGATGTGTCCCTAAGTTTATTGATTTTTACCTCGACTGACTGGTTCAAGGTTCTTCACTTTGGTCCTAGTGAAGTCTTTGATGAGTGTGCTGCACTTGAATCATTATACAGCCATAGTCCAGTGGTGAGAGCCGCGCCTCTCATCATCGAGGTCTGGGGATGATATCCCCAGACGCAAAGGAAAAAGAAAAGAAAACTTCCAACAAAAATCTTAATAGAAAAAAGTGGAGAACCTTGAGCCAATAAGTACAAGGGATTACAATACCCAATCCCTTGTGGAGGCTGACATAAAGTATATGTTGGGGAAACAGCAGAAAACCTATGAACATGTCTTATTGACCACATTTTCGTGTACAGTTATGATAACCTGAACGTGTACAGCACCAGAACACCACCAGCTGCTTGATGAGACTGAGCAGTGAGCAATGCCCGTTTAGTGATTGAGGAATCACAAACCCACAGACAAAAATGGAATTACACAGAACAAAGTCAGCACTATCATCTCCGAAAAAAATAATATGAATCCATCCTCTTTAAAACGATAAACCCCGCCATCACCTAGGAACACCAAGTCACTTCTACTGCTAACATGGGTCAGTAGACTTTCAGTGAGCCTCTATTCTCATGTTCTAATTTCTTGACTTGTCTCCACCTTCCTCGTCTCAACATGCTCCATTTACATACCCTCTGTCCTTGTATTGTTTATGCTGACTTGACAAAGCTCTGTTTTTCCTTAGATATTATTACTTTTTTACTACTTCTAATGTTATTGATTATATTGGTAATATTATTACTGATACTTGTTTTATTTTGTGTCTAAATGTATTATCATTACTACTTGTACAGTAACCATTACTAATAATGCCACTGCTCAACCTGCTGGTGAATTTAGAATTACGATTCATGACCCACCTGGTGTGTGAGGGAGGAGCGGCCCACACCTCCTTCTGCTACCCTGCCAGAAGTTACATGCTGCTGAAGGTGCTGTGACTGAGTCACTTCGTGTCTAGCGCCATTATCCACTTCGCTGTCCTGGTGGGACAGCACGCCCAGGTGGCCCACGTTCAGTCTTCCAACACCGAAGTCATCCTCATCCTTCTCCGTGCGATTCTCGTGCACAAGGCGGTCGTCTTCAAACCGTCGCTCATGGTGGAGATCGTAGACCTGTTGGCCGTTCACGAATTTCTTTTCCTGTCTGACTTCGTGCCGCTGGGAGTAACTGCCTGGGTGATAGCTGCCGTGCATGAGCTGAAGCTGATCATCGCCATACGAGCTCAGGTCCATGCCTTCTAGTTCATCGCTCCCATGCTCTTTTGTGTTCTCGTGGATCAGTTTCCCATTCTCATACTGTCGTTCATGGTGTGTGACTCCAACAAGGCGTCCATTAATGTACTTCTTCGTTTTGCGAATATCGGTGCGTCGAGACCCTAACTGTGGAGATTCAATGACGAAACATCCCATAGCCTCAGTGCATGATGTTGAGGATGTATCAGATGATGATGAAGTTGATAGTGACCCCGGCAGTGGTTGTGAAGGATACAAACCCCCTACCACAGTAGAATGTGAACGGCTTTCGTTATATTTGTACGAAGTGGAACCAACCACTGACGGATAGACATTCCTTCTTTCATCAGCAGTTGATGCCCCTGAAAAATCAAGGTGAGTATTGCTAACTACGGGAACTGCCTGGTCAATGAGAGTACCTTGTCTAGTGTGTGTGCTGTTGTAGTAGGAGGAGCTATGCACACTCGAGTAAGGACCTCTCTGATGGGTGTTGGATGATCCATCAACGCGTGTGCGATGGAGGCTGGAGGACTCATCAACGCGAGTAGGATGTAAACGTGTAGGATGTAAGTTGGGTAACCTATCATCACCACGTGAAGGATGTAAGCTAGGTAACTTATCAAGAGTATGAGATGATTCGTCGTCTTCTTGGCTAGTGTCGCTACTTTCGGCTTCATTGTCAACAGAGGCCAAAGTGGGTATATAAAAAGACTCCTGCTCATTATCAACGGATGGAATTTCAGGTCCATAATTGTCTTCATGGGGGCTAATGTCGTAGCGCTCCTTGTTGTCATCATCCTCATCTTCATCATTATCGTCCACCACGGGCCCAATTAACGCTCCTGGAATGCCGACTTGAGGTTGAGAGCCGTGAGGAGAGTAAACATCATCCACCCTAGTATCATGGTGACGACCACTGGTTGGAGACGTCTGTGAGGCTGAAGAGGGTAGATCTAGGATCGTTGTGCGAGCTCCACCACTGGTCCTGGTGACCTCTGGTCTCCTAACATTATATTCACTGTAATGATCCTGTGATGATTCCAAATGATTGTCACTGTATCCTCCTGCAGGCCTTGAAGGAACGTGATGTCTGTAACCGCTAGAAGATTCTCTTTGTGAGATTTCAAAGTTCTCTTGTGAAATCTGTGTAACGGGTTGGTGTGGTTGGAGAGTTCTGATATTTTGTTGGGCCTGTGTTGAGTGTGTGACTTCAGCAACCACTGAACCTCTGTTATTGCTAGTAGGTCTTGTATGCTGTGTGACTTCAGCAGCAACTGAACCTCTGTTACTGCTAATAGGTCTTGTATGTTGTGTGACTTCAGCAGTACTCGAACTTCTGTCACTGTTGATGGGTCTTGTTTGTTGTGTAACTTCAGCAGCACCTGAAGCTCTATGAATGTTGGTAGGTCTTGTCTGTGGTACACCTGCGTGTGATGAAGATTCGTATGTTGAGTAACTTCCAGAAGATGGACTGTATGGTGGATTTGAGCGTCCTGCGTTTGGCCTGTGTATGGAAGAGGATGCTGAAGTTTCCTTTGTTTCCTCAGTATACTGCGTTAAGGAACTTCCTGAAGCAGGTCTTGGGGTGATATAAGTGTGTGAAGGATAAGAGGATGATGGTGAAGTTGGTCTGTGAGACAGAGACTCTCTTGAATGATCATCATACTGTGTTGAACTTCCAAGGGCTGGTCTGTTAGAAGGATAAGATGATGAGTCAAATGACTGCTCAGCATATTGTGTTGAGGAACGTCCAGGAGCCGGTCTATTAGAGGAATAAGATGATGATCCTGATTCTAACGACTGATCAGTATATTGTGTTGAGGAACGTCCTGGAACTGGTCTGTAAGATGGATAAGCGGATACTGAGTCTCTGGATTGCTGCACCTGGGATGGTGAAAGTCCCGTTGACGGTCTGATGATTGATGAGTCCCTTGACTCATGTGTAAATTGCGTCGTGGAAACTGGTAGATGGGCAGGAATGGAAGATGAGTGTTGGCTATATTGTGAATACGACGAGAAGCCTGGTGTGTACCTGGGGTAGGTGTCCTGGTTGTCTCTGTGTGTAGAGGAGGACTGCCTGTAGTCTTCGTAATACCCTCCAACTGGAGCTACATTGGATTGGTACTGGTTAACAATGTCTTCTGTTCCAAGATCTTCTGGTCCTTTCTCTTCAGTGCGGTTATGTACAAGCTGTCCATCTTTGTATTTTCGTTCACTGTGTTTTTCGTAGACTGGCTGGCCATTGACGTATCGAGTCTCTGAATGGACCTCACTGCGGTGGCTCCCACCATACACAGGCTGATGTGTTCTATAAGTCATCTGACGCTGCAAATTCTGGTGCAGAAGAGCCATATTGGATTGGAAATCAGACGCAAAATCATCATCGTGGGCGTCTTCAGATACATATGCAGAGCCAAGATTCGTACCCGGACCCTGGACATAAGAGTCGTCAAAACTGTCGTCATAGCCATGCGGGGTGTGGTAGCCTCCTCTTACTTGATTGTAACTACTGCTCCTACTTCCGCCACGGGTAGATAAGCGACTGCCTGGGTAATCACTCCCCGTCCCTACATGGAACCCTAGATCGTGTTCATCTTTCTCCACCTTCTGGTCATGAATTAGTCGGCCATCCTTAAACCGACGTTCGTGTTGCAGCTGATACACTGGCTGGCCATTGACGAACTGCTGCTCGCTTCTGACTTCCTGGCGGGAGGACGTGGTAGTGTGGCCTCCAGCAGGAACTATCGCACCGTAGCCCCCCTCTTCTCCATAGCTGCTGGATCTGAAGCTGCTACCGCTACCGTAGCTGGTGCCTGCCAGGGTACAGGAGAAGCAACCCTTGTAGCTCCCCGGGTAGCTGGTGTGCCGCAGCTCGCGTGCAGGACTCTGGCCAACACAACACAACAGACATAAAGAGAGAGCTGATGAAAACGAGACATGACAAAAAACTTGGTAAAAATAAGAGAAACTACAAAAGTAAGAGTTTCTTAGTATACACAGACCTACCAGTGAAACAGCTACAGTCTTAATTACTTAATTTGTAAGATATGATGTAATGCATGTAATTCATACATATATTTTGAAATATATTGTAATATTTTGCATGATATTGTAATATTGTAACTTGGTATACAAACAGGAGATGAAGGAGTACAATGGTAATTTCTATACAACGCTTCATCCAGCATATGGATTGCACAAGACAGCCCTCCCACTATATACCTCACAAGACAGCCCTCCCACTATATACCTCACAAGACAGCCCTCCCACTATATACCTCACAAGACAGCCCTCCCACTATATACCTCACAAGACAGCCCTCCCACTATATACCTCACAAGACAGCCCTCCCACTATATACCTCACAAGACAGCCCTCCCACTATATACCTCACAAGACAGCCCTCCCACTATATACCTCACAAGACAGCCCTCCCACTATATACCTCACAAGACAGCCCCCACCTCCCACTATATACCTCACAAGACAGCCCTCCCACTATATACCTCACAAGACAGCCCTCCCACTATATACCTCACAAGACAGCCCTCCCACTATATACCTCACAAGACAGCCCTCCCACTATATACCTCACAAGACAGCCCTCCCACTATATACCTCACAAGACAGCCCTCCCACTATATACCTCACAAGACAGCCCTCCCACTATATACCTCACAAGACAGCCCTCCCACTATATACCTCACAAGACAGCCCTCCCACTATATACCTCACAAGACAGCCCTCCCACTATATACCTCACAAGACAGCCCTCCCACTATATACCTCACAAGACAGCCCTCCCACTATATACCTCACAAGACAGCCTTCCCACTATATACCTCACAAGACAGCCCTCCCACTATATACCTCACAAGACAGCCTTCCCACTATATACCTCACAAGACAGCCCTCCCACTATATACCTCACAAGACAGCCTTCCCACTATATACCTCACAAGACAGCCTTCCCACTATATACCTCACAAGACAGCCCTCCCACTATATACCTCACAAGACAGCCCTCCCACTATATACCTCACAAGACAGCCCTCCCACTATATACCTCACAAGACAGCCCTCCCACTATATACCTCACAAGACAGCCCTCCCACTATATACCTCACAAGACAGCCCTCCCACTATATACCTCACAAGACAGCCCTCCCACTATATACCTCACAAGACAGCCCTCCCACTATATACCTCACAAGACAGCCCTCCCACTATATACCTCACAAGACAGCCCTCCCACTATATACCTCACAAGACAGCCCTCCCACTATATACCTCACAAGACAGCCCTCCCACTATATACCTCACAAGACAGCCCTCCCACTATATACCTCACAAGACAGCCCTCCCACTATATACCTCACAAGACAGCCCTCCCACTATATACCTCACAAGACAGCCCTCCCACTATGTACCTCACAAGACAGCCCTCCCACTATATACCTCACAAGACAGCCCTCCCACTATATACCTCACAAGACAGCCCTCCCACTATATACCTCACAAGACAGCCCTCCCACTATATACCTCACAAGACAGCCCTCCCACTATATACCTCACAAGACAGCCCTCCCACTATATACCTCACAAGACAGCCCTCCCACTATATACCTCACAAGACAGCCCTCCCACTATATACCTCACAAGACAGCCCTCCCACTATATACCTCACAAGACGGCCCTCCCACTATATACCTCACAAGACAGCCCTCCCACTATATACCTCACAAGACAGCCCTCCCACTATATACCTCACAAGACGGCCCTCCCACTATATACCTCACACGACGGCCCTCCCACTATATACCTCACAAGACAGCCCTCCCACTATATACCTCACAAGACAGCCCTCCCACTATATACCTCACAAGACAGCCCTCCCACTATATACCTCACAAGACGGCCCTCCCACTATATACCTCACAAGACAGCCCTCCCACTATATACCTCACAAGACAGCCCTCCCACTATATACCTCACAAGACGGCCCTCCCACTATATACCTCAGAAGACAGCCCTCCCACTATATACCTCACAAGACAGCCCTCCCACTATATACCTCACAAGACGGCCCTCCCACTATATACCTCACAAGACAGCCCTCCCACTATATACCTCACAAGACAGCCCTCCCACTATATACCTCACAAGACAGCCCTCCCACTATATACCTCACAAGACAGCCCTCCCACTATATACCTCACAAGACAGCCCTCCCTCTATATACCTCACAAGACGGCCCTCCCACTATATACCTCACAAGACGGCCCTCCCACTATATACCTCACAAGACAGCCCTCCCACTATATACCTCACAAGACAGCCCTCCCACTATATACCTCACAAGACGCCCTCCCACTATATACCTCACAAGACAGCCCTCCCACTATATACCTCACAAGACAGCCCTCCCACTATATACCTCACAAGACAGCCCTCCCACTATATACCTCACAAGACAGCCCTCCCACTATATACCTCACAAGACAGCCCTCCCACTATATACCTCACAAGACAGCCCTCCCACTATATACCTCACAAGACAGCCCTCCCACTATATACCTCACAAGACAGCCCTCCCACTATATACCTCACAAGACAGCCCTCCCACTATATACCTCACAAGACAGCCTTCCCACTATATACCTCACAAGACAGCCCTCCCACTATATACCTCACAAGACAGCCCTCCCACTATATACCTCACAAGACAGCCTTCCCACTATATACCCCACAAGACAGCCCTCCCACTATATACCTCACAAGACGGCCCTCCCACTATATACCTCACAAGACAGCCCTCCCACTATATACTATACAATCACACTCAACATGGTATCCCTCTGACATCCTAGACAAGACACACTCAACAACATGGTATCCCTTTGACATACTAGACAAGACACACTCAACAACATGGTATCCCTCTGACATACTAGACAAGACACACTCAGCAACATGGTATCCCTCTGACATACTAGACAAGACACACTCAACAATATGGTATCCCTCTGACATACTAGACAAGACACACTCAACAACATGGTATCCCTCTGACATACTAGACAAGACACACTCAACAATATGGTATCCCACTGACATACTAGACAAGACACACTCAACAACATGGTATCCCTCTGACATACTAGACAAGACACACTCAACAACATGGTATCCCTCTGACATACTAGACAAGACTCGACATACATCACTCAGGAAAATAAATGCACAAGTCTACGGTTGTTGCCAGATACCTTTATATACTCTAAAACCTAGTTATTATTATTATTATTATTATTATCATCATCATTATTTCCAGAAATTATCTATTTAGGTTTCAAGGGTTCTCGTGCCTTGGGTATGAGACCAGACTGCCGTGTTGGGAAGCTGGTCAGCCAAGCTGTTCGTGCTAGCAGTCATAACACATCACGGCCATTGACGTGAACGTCTCACATCAATTTAACCAGTGGTGGGCACAGCTAACCGAAAAGTTAGCTTCGGTCACTGCTAATCCGTTAACTAAAAAATTAGCTCCGCTAACGCTAAATGGCTGAAAACATTAGCGGAAGCTAACTCTAAACGCTAACTTTTTCACATGAATTCAGATTCGGTTTAGTTTTGTGGTCTTTTACTTTTAAGACTTTTAGAACAGACCTGGAGTGCATGGCATGTGCTGGGTGTGTCCTCTTAACATGGTACTTCATGTTGTAGAGGATCACCACCTTGATGATGGTCTCCCTGGGCCGGCACATGACACACAGGAAGTACAAAATATTGGCGTTCTTCGTATCCCTTGACTTGAGGATAAAATAGTCATCCAGGTGGGACCACGGGTTCTGTGACTCCTGATCCTCAGCCTGAGCGGCCTCTGGTTCAATCACAGCCACCGGGGGAACAGAAATGTCTCCCCTGTTCATAACGATAAGTGACAACGCACCCTGGTGATCGCTGACACTGTAAGACCATAACAATGTTGATCAGATGCTGCTGCTGCTGCGTTGGCAATCACGTTTACATGTAGTCAGTCAGTAGTGTGCCTGACTGACTGTTGGAGAAACACCAACAACAGACAGGATCAAACAGATGCGCCGTTGAAAACGCATTGCTTTCCAACTACGAACAATGTATGAATTTTTTTTAGCGGACTCAGAGTTAGCGGAACTTTATTTAATAGAAGCTAATTGGTCCGCTAACGGTTTCCGAAGTTAGCGGAAACACTAATACGCTAAATAAAAAGTTAGTTCCGCTAATTAGCGGTTAGCGGATTAGCGGAACTGTGCCAACCACTGAATTTAGCCCGTTAATTATTCTATCCAGGAGCATTTATTACCACTGACGACCTCTGCTGAGTGATACTTTAGACGAAGTTTGATCTCTTCTTCATCTAGATGTATTTTTACTTTCCTTATTACTCAAAAAAAATACAATCTTGTATTCAGATGAGAACCTCTGCAGTTCTCTGTGTTGTTAATGTTTTGGTGATAGTTTTATGTGAGGAAAACTGGAAGTGACTCTTACCAATGTTCAGTCGAATGTCATAACTCACACCTTATGAGAGGCTGCAGATGTGTGTGTGTGGAGGGGTGAGTGTGTGTGTGCTCACCTAATTGTGGTTGTACGGGTCGATTCATAGCACCTGGCCCTGCCTCTTCACTGGTCGCTACTGGGTCCTCTCTCTCCCTGCTCCATGAACTTTATCAAACCTCGTCTTAAAACTATGTATTGGTCCTGCCTCCACTACATCCCTTTCCAGACTATTCCACTTCCTGACAACTCTATGACTAAAGAAATACTTCCTAACATCCCTTTGACTCATATTAGTCTTCAACTTCCAATTTTGACCCATTGTTTCTGTGTCTCATCCAGGAAC